AATGCTATAGAACATGAATAAAAGGGAATACTTTGAGAAAATAATCATAAATATAAATATGATCATTGACTTTTTGTTTCACATAAAATTATCTAGTACATATTCAAGAGTAGTTCAGACAAATATCTATTTTCACATATTTTTTTTTTTGCGAAAGTCGACGATATTGCGATTGACAGGACAGAAAAAGATTACGCCGATATGAATTCAATGAATCAAATCTCCAAAGCAAATATCAATTTACCAGAAGCAGTCAACAAGAAAAACCATCTTAAAATCTTTCCAATGTAAGAACAGAATCCATACATATCAATTTTGTTTGTTATTTGAGTGTAATCATTTATTTTTGTACCATAGGACCTTGGAAACATTTTCAAACGAATTGTTTTCCATTATTTTTTCATACATGAATCAGCCTGTTATTGTCTATGCTTTTTTTTTGGTCTCAATCGACGTTGTAATTTGATTGTTCTCGAATCGGTTCGTCATCTCAATGTTCCTGCAATCACACAACTCAGCTGGTTCGTCGAATATATACCACGTATTCAAAATGCAATTGAGATTCTCAGTTTTAACATCAGATTGGTGGCCCTCGTCTTTCCATATACATATTCATATCCAAAACTTCGATCGGTTATCTTAAAAGACGATCACAGTATCACCGTCAAATTGAATGTCGAATATTGTTCCGCTCTAGGAGCTATTATTTCATGCTTGAATCTTCTTCGAATATGCAATATTTGGGGAACAGCTCTAGAGGCAAATACTCTACTTTTTGACCCGAACACTGTTGTGTCTCGTATCGTCATCGATGAAGTGAGTAAGAAAAAAATTCTAACTTACTTGTGTTTAGATCATGAAAATCTTTAGGAAGAGGCATTGATGAACACCCTACCATGTTCAGTCATCGAGTGCACAATTATAACCATATGGAATGAGCAGGATTTGATTTAATTCTGTGATCGTACACCTAATTTAGTGTACCTTAAAATCATAGCTTGCGCAGATTGGCAGAACGCTTTTCATGCAACTATTCGAACTCGTATACCTAAATTTTCGTATCTAACTCAACTACACATCTATTTCAATGATTATGACATACATTTTGATTTCATCGAATGGTTGGTCGACTCGTGCAAGACGTGCCTAAAACAACTGGTACTCATTGTTACAGACATAGACTATCAAAATATCGGACAACGTCTTGAGAGATTACTTCAACCATGTCAGTATCTCAAAAAACTTACATTTGTCTTTGAATATTATGTCCAAGATAATAGTATTGATATAACTCAACTATTGTGCCAATTCCAAAATGACCGGTGGTTTGACGATAGTCGACCATCAGTTTTCCTTCAACTTGACGATGATGGGCACATTATCATTACTTCAATGCCTTGTACTTCCTTGAATAATATACGCTTATCGACCAATTTGAAGATGTGGCGACTTAACAAAGTACACTTCGATTCACCACTCATTTATTGTAAAGTAAAATTCCATATGATGTCTTCTGAGAGTATCCCCGGAAACTCGATTATGTCCTATGGATAAGAGGTAGATAGATATATAGGTACAGGAGGTATAGGAGGTATAGGAGATATAGGAGGTATGGGAGGCATAGGAGGTATAGGAGATATAGGAGATATAGGAGGTATAGGAGATATAGGAGGTATAAGAGGTATAAGAGGTATAGGAGATATCGGAGGTATAGAAGGTATAGAAGGTATAAGAGGTATAAGAGGTATAGGAGATATAGGAGATATAGGAGGTATAGGAGGTATAGAGGTATAGGAGATATTAATTAAGTAGTGCAGATAATCTTTATGCAGTGCTTGACTTTGAATAGTGATTCAGTCAGATATATTCATTCAAGTTATCGATCCTTGCTCGAAAAAATCAATCATAAAAAATAAATAACTCTTTACTATGTCTCCTACACCTTCTAGATCTTATTCAACTTATCGATCCTTGGTCGAGAACATCAATCGTAAAAAATAAATAACTGTTTACTGTGTATCCTATACCATCTATATCTCATTCAACTTATCCATCCTTGCTCGAAAAAATCAATCATAAAAAATAAATAACTGTTTACTATGTCTCCTATACCATCTATATCTCATTCAACTAATCCATCCTTGCTCGAAAAAATCAATTATAAAAAAAAATAAATGTTTACTGTGTTTCCTATACCTCTTATACCTCCTATATCTCCTATACCTCCTATACCTCCTATACCTCTTATATCTCCTATACCTCCTATACATCCTATATCTCCTATACCTCCTATATCTCCTATACCTCCTATACCTCCTATACCTATATATCTATCTACCTCTTACCCATAGGACATAATCGAGTTTCCGGGGATACTCTCAGAAGACATGTAATCTAAAATTCATTCGTTTCATCAACAACAATCAACGACCTGTTACGTTCGATTTTCTTCGATTTATTGGTCGTTTCTTTCGCTCATGTAGTTACGATTTAGAATTTACATACTGGGGTTTTGTTTCTCCGCATACAGTTTATGAAGAGGTAAGCTTTTATTTCTACTAGTGCTTTCTGGTTAATATAACTGAAGAGTAACTTAATTTTTTCATATACTTATAGTTGATCAACACAACAACAAACAAATCTTTACTACCGAACGTGACAAGTTTCTATACAAACTCATCTGATTGTGATGGATTAGATGGAATAACATTGACTATATGGCTTTTAGTAGTACCCAATGTTAGAGAATTAAACTTAACAAATGTCGCAATTTCTCGAAAATTACAGTTGGCAAACGAACTGAACACATTGTTTTCCATGGATGAACGCCTAAGCACTGTTTTTGAACGTCTTCACATAATAACTGTTTTTCGGCTTATTGCTAGAAGTGACGAGACGAAAAAACAAGAACTATTTCGACTCTTTGGCGATGTCTTTCGAAAAGCTGTCATTCGTAGTCAGTAGTACTTTGTCAACTTTCTCGAATTAATTGATTGTTTATAATAATGTTTTCTTCCATATTGTTATCAAAGTTCAATGTTTCTAAATAAAAAAAATCAAAAGTTTATATGCATGTTTTTTCCTTGGTAAAGACTTTTATAATGGAAATTAAAGAATGAATTGACATTTAGTGATATGTTAACAGGAGCTAATGTGATGTCTATATGGCGAAGAGTTAATTTATTAACCGCATTTAGTAATGATGAACTCGCTCATATTAAACAATATTTAATCATTAATGATTACCATTCTATCGATATTCATTTTGATTTATATATTGATGAGTTTTATATCTCAGAAGTTTAAATTCAAAGTTTTGCTTCGACGTTGTAGCATTTCTCATTCACGATAAGTGGTAGATACCTTCGTTATAGTTAACAATTGATCTCATCTTTGGACCAGTCATCCTATTCCGCAATGTTGAACATTACGAAATCAGTTCCATCACCGGAATCAGTTCCATCTAATTCCGAGAACTTGATCATCATTCAGTATAAGAGACCTATTCTACATCAATCGAGTTCCACCAATTCCCGGAATACCATGAACGGAGTACAGACGGAATTACTCGCAATCCCCAGAAATTCCTTCAAATTCCGGAATTGGAATGGTACTCGGAATTCCGGAATTACACAGAATTGGAAGAAGTTCCAGGATTTCCGGAATCAGAAGGAATTCCCTGGAATTCCTAGTAATTCCGTCTCGAGTCAATTCCCGGAATTCCTTGCCGGAATTACTTACTTATCCTACGGATTCATCTTCAACGACACCATCATGCATGAGGGTGAGGGCGAGAACTAATTCCGGTGTGGAATTCCGGAAATAGAGTGAAGACGGAATTAGTTGGAATTGCGGAATCAGAAGGAATTCCGTTTCAACACAATTTCCGGAGTTCCGGACATTGACGGAACTCGATCGATATCGATTGGGCCTGTTCTGTAGAATCATAATCGAGCTCCCAGAATTGGACGGAATTAGTTCCGGGAATGGAATTGATTCCGCAATGTTCAACATCGCGGAACAGGATGCATTCTCATTTTCTTCTGTTCAATGACATTTCTCATCTATATACAAAGTCGAGTACACTATCACCTGTATTAAGTGGCATAAGTGTTACTAAAGTAGAACAGCGTAACTGGAAATAGTAACTTATATGACTCTTTGAAATTGATTAGTAGATATTTTACTCGTGAAAGCTTATGTTAATAGATGGTAGCCTTCAAGAAGTCGCGGTACCCATGAATAAATCTTAGTCTTTCGATTCACTCAATAATTTAACTTACTTCTCATGTTGTGTTTTTTCAAATATTTAAGTTATCCGACCTTATTCAGCTAATGGTTACTATGACAGTAAACTTTTTACAATATTCTAATAAATGGCTTGAGTGAATGTGGGACTCCATCATTTAGAAATCATTTTTGTAAAACAAATACTTTTAATGATGCCACTCTAAGTTGATCTGGTTTCGAGATCTGCTAACTGGCCTTACTCATAACAACTGTTGAGTACGATTAATGACGATACACATGATATAAGAATATTTCTAAGACTCTAGGTATCATCTCAAATTATCGAAAATAGTTTTATTCATCGAAATGAAGATTGCCAAAAATGAGTATTGCTGACATCTGTCTCAACGAAAGATTTATTAGCGAATATCAGCGAAGCGCAGTCTCATAAGAGTAGATCCGCTAAAACATATTAAATTTAAAAGACTAATTGTCAATATTTTATTTCATCTTGAAAAAAAAAACGAAGAAAGTATCAAAAGAACTAGTGAACACAGTAATTCCGAATATTTCATTAATATTTAATCGAAAATTAACGCCATCTAGACATTCTTGTTAAGCATAACTGACCAACGAAAAATTGACTTCTTTTTCCATAATTTCCCTTACGCTATATCAACGTGGATATTACTTGATTTACGTTTATTATATTTTTCTCAAACTAAGGTCGATTCGTTTCACTAATATATTCTTAATATTTAGTCCTATAAATGCTTCGAAATCTTGGTCGTATCGCGACACATGTTTGTCGTCAACGTCAAATTGCTTTTGAAGCAATTCGAGCTCTTGGTATTGATGAAAAACATTGATTTTTATTTATAAAATAATGCTCAATTTTTTTGTTATTCAGCATCAACACCATTGAAAATGCCTTCTCTATCCCCAACGATGAGCGAAGGAACAATTGTTAGATGGCTCAAAAAAGAAGGTCTGATAATTAAATACTAAATATAAAATTTAAATTATTGATTATTTTAGGCGAAGAATTTAATCCTGGTGATGCTTTATGTGAAATTCAGACGGATAAAGCAACATTAACTCTTGATACTGAAGAAGAGGGTATTCTTGCTAAAATTCTAGTAAATAAATTATTAACTTTATTTTTATTCTTCATAGAAGAAAATTAATGTATTTTTTATTTTAGATGCCCGATAATTCAACTGAAGTTAAAGTTGGAAAATTAATTGCAATTCTTGTTGAAAAAGGTGATGATTGGAAAAATGTTGAAGTACCAAAAGTTGAAGAAAAAACTTCAGATCAAAAATCGTCTGAAACAAAACCTGTTGAAAAAAAAGATAAACAAGAAAAACCTAAAAGTGATCAACAACAAGCCATACAATCTCAGTATGTATTATATCATATAAATAATTAGTTACTTTTTATTTATTTATTAAGTCATGCTATTGGTCCAGCTGCACGCACTCTTCTAGAACAATATGGTATTGAACTTTCTAAAATACAAGGCACTGGACCACATGGTGTTGTTATGAAAAGGTTTTTACTTCTTTATACTTTTTTCTTCATCAAATTCAAATTTCATTTTGTTAATTTCTAGTGATGTTCAAAACTATATTGACAGTAATCAACTTAAACCTAAACCACATACTGAGGAAAAGAAACCTACAAAACAAACAACACAAACAACACCAGTCACGCAAGAAAAACAAATAAAGGAATCTGGAGGACGTCGATATCATGATATAGAAATTTCATCTGTTCGTCGATCAATTGCTAAACGTTTAACATATTCAAAAACCAATATACCTCATCAATATATTAGTATAACATCTAATGTTGATCAAATACTTAAATTACGTAAACAAATGATTAGTGATCCTAAAGCAACAGTTAAAGTATCAGTTAATGACTTTATCATTAAAGCTGTTGCTCATGCACTGAGAGTAAGTTATTTAAAAAAACTATCATTAATATGCGTAAAAAAAAGAAGTTAAAATATTAAAACATTCTTTCAGCATTCTTTGTTGCTTAATAATTATTATTAAATTTTTTTTAAAATATATGCATACAGTCAGTGCCCACCACCAAAAGTCTTGCTACCAAGGCAAAGGAGTATCGAAATTTGAATCTTGTTGTCTGATATTTTTTTTATTACAAAGAGTTCGGTAAATCTTGATCACAAGTACTAGGTCAAAGTGAACTGACCTTGATGCATTGGATTTAGAAAAAAGCACTATCCCTACTTTGTGAACCTCGAAAAAGTTACTTTTAAACCATTTGTATTCATCATTTTATTGATAAATAAAGCTTCAAATGTCTTGAATTTATTACAGAGAACTCGATTCTGTTGCAATCTCTAGATGCAATGACGCTTCCATTAGTTGGAATAGTCTTTGCAGAGATTTTCCTTCTATCAATTGGTGTGATTATAAAATTTTCATGGAATACTTTATTAGAACAGACAACTCAATACAAAAAATTTCAAAGCAGACTATTGAAACCAAAGAATTCACATTTAGATACTTTTTATCTGATAATGGGACTGCTAACGGCTACTGTATTTATCCTAAAGAGTACTCAAATTGAAAAAAGTTTTACGAGTTAGACTATACAACTGCTGATTTCCATTAGCTTAGAAACAATTTAAATCCCGTGTATTAGGATATGAGAGATGATCTTACATTTTCTTCTTTTCTTTTCTTTCATTTTGTTATAGATGACGTTTTCACATGTATTCTTTTGTTTCCTTTTCTGCGCTCATGGTATATTCCATATCGTTCTCTCTTTCTTGATCTAGCTCAGGTGTGTTGGTATTTTCTCTTCACTGATGTTTTTTCCCAGTACATTCACATTCATTTATATACAACCGTGATTTTTGAAATAAAAGGAGATTAGACAGCAAACATTCTAACTCTTTGAATGAGTACAATCAAATAAACTGCTAGTTTTGATAGATAATTTTCTTATAATGGTAAAAAATACAGAATTTGATCTATATTTTCTCTTCAAAAATGAACATTTTCAATAGCATGATTTTAGTATAGCATAATATTCTATATCTATTTATATGAAAAACTTTTTTTTCTTATAGCAAGTACCACAAATGAACGGTATATATGAAGATAAGAGTGGTCTTAAACTACAATCAACAGTTGATATAAGTGTTGCTGTTGCAACTGATAATGGTCTTATAACACCTATTGTATTTAATGCTGATCGTTTATCCATACAAGATATAAATGGACAAGTTCGACAATTAGCAACCAAAGCTAAAGAAGGAAAATTGAAACTGAATGAATTTCAAGGTGGTTCATTTACAATATCAAATTTAGGTATGTTTGGTATTCGATCATTTTCGGCTGTTATTAATCCACCACAAATTGGTATATTGGCTATTGGTCAAAATCTTCTTAAATATAGTGGTGATGATCTTAAAACTGAAAATCAATTAATTGTTACTTTATCTTATGATGCACGTGCATGTGATCCCCAATCAAGTGCATTATTTCTTCAAGCATTTCGTTCATACATGGAAAACCCAACTATGCTCATAACAAATAACAAATTAGAATCAATTCTTAACTTTTAAAATTGAACTCATTTTAGTCATTTAGAATAGGTGTATTTTTCTTTTGTTCATATATATATGTCTCATTTCATATGTAACATGTCTTTTCACTAGTTTCACCCTATTTTAGATCTAATCTGTCGAACATGCAGTTCGACATAAGAAGGTAAATTGAAAGACATAAATTTTTCTATTTTAATTTTATTAATTACTTGTTTTTTGTTTTGTTCTTATTTAGATTTGATATTTATCGAAAAGTTCCTAAGGATCTCACACAAGCGACAACTACTGGTGCCGCTATATCACTTATTTGTATTACATTTATAACAACATTACTTCTCATTGAACTTTATTATTTTATTACACCTGATGTGTAAGGAAAACAAAGTTTTGAAATTACAAAAATAAAGAGACAAATTCTTTTTTAATACATATTCTTTTAGTATCAGTGAATTATTTGTTGATGCACCAGATTTTGGTACAAGTGATCGTATACCAGTACATCTTGACATTACTGTATTAGAAATTCCTTGTGAATGTAAGAATAAGAAAAAAAAAAGAAATTTATAGTTTGTATTAATATAAAATTTCATTTTAGTTCTTGGTATTGATATTCAAGATGATCTTGGCCGACACGAAGTTGGATTCCATGATAATACAATAAAAACACCAGACAATAATAATAGAGGTTGTCGTATTAATGCTACATTTAAAGTAGCTCGTGTACCTGGTAATTTCCATGTCTCAACACATTCCGCTGGCAGACAGCCCACAAATGGTGATATGAAACATGTGATACATGATTTAATAATTGGTGATTCTATTAAAGTTTGTTCATTTGAAATAAGAATTAAAATGAAAAAAGATTTTTATTTATATGTTTTAAAAGGGTTTTCGACGAATTCCAAATAGAAAAGCATTCCGTCCATTAAGAGGTTTTAATAATACAAATCATCCAGTTCATGTTTCTCATGATTATTTAATGAAAATTGTACCCACCATATATGAAAATCTCAGTGGAACTCGTCGATATCCATTTCAATTTACATTTGTCTATCGGGTTAGTAAAAGAGTTTTTTTTTTTTTTAATACAAAATGAATTCATTATTCCATATCTAAATCAAATTTTAATAAGTTAAATAAGCATTATCAATTCATTCGATTGTTTTATTTTTAAATTAGAAAAAAAAAGAAGTAAACATAACTTTTAAAATTAATCATTTTCAGAAGACTAACAATGAATTGTTGTTGTATTATTGAAGACTTCTGTTCTATACTATTAGAAATTAAGTAGAAAAAATAGATTTTTTTTTGAATCTAGATCATTACTTTATGAAATGTCTAGTCAATTGCTAGAATATGCATTTTAAGAAGTAATTATTTGCAAACAGCGAAATAGAAATAGAATTCTTGACGAATTACAAAACAATATCCATTCAGACGTACGAGGAAAAACTTTCAATTAATCAATCGCTTTCTCACTAAAACACTTCTCGATTATGAGTTACTGGCCATACTTAATTCTGAATATGGATATAAGAAACCCTTTCAGATCCGTATACGCTAGTTTTCTAGACTAAAAAAAAATTGTTTTCGAAATCTTGAAAGTATAATAGCAAAATTTTTCATAGTCATATTCAAATTCAGCATGCTCGATAACCTAAAATTCACTAGTTTCGGGTGAGAAAACGATTGATCAATTGAAAATGTTTCCTTTGTTAATCAAAACTTTTAATCGGAAACGTTCGGATCAAAATACATGCTGTTAAGTTAATTTTTTAGTATGTCACATCAGCTGGAAAAAAAACAACAAAGTTCATAGACTTAGAAAATAACGAGAGATATTTCATTTCAAAAATGATTTATTATTATGTTGTGAACTCTTCTTATCAGCCTTAATTTTCGATTTACAAGTTGCTGATACTAGGTTTGTTCAGTCTGTTGTATTTATACAAAAATCTTAGAGGTTTCTTATTTTGTTATAGTCGAATAGAAATTCCATTACTCTATGGAATCATATACTTTTTATGTAATTTGTTTTGCAACTTGTCAAAAGATTTGAGAAATGTAAAAAAAAGACACTTTTTTTCACTTGATAATTTTCAAAGCATTTCTCAGTTAATTTTTTTGTTAACTATCATCTACGATAATGCTGAAAATTTTCATTTGTTATATAAAAGAATACATAATTTGTTTCTCTATTCAACTATATATTTTTATTGAGCTTTCAAGCGAAGTTCCTCAACTGATTAATCATTTTTGAGTCGTGAGTACATGTATGATTGTTGTCAAAGTCTTCTATTTTTACGGTATTTTTTTCATATAAATACAATAGTTTTCTCCAGAAACATTATATAAACACGTTTTCGAATTTCCGCTTAAATTTTTACAGACAAAAATAGATCTTAACGAGAATAGTTTATTGTAAAAGTTTCAGATCATTTTGTTGTCCGTATCCTAAGATACAGCCATGATAAAAGCTTGTCGTTTTACACTGCTTGTATACACCGACAAGTTTGATGTTCTTATTTTAGGAAAAGAGCAAATCAAAACACTTGAAAGCTTTCACAAAATTATTCCTGTTAAGATGTATCTTGAGGCAATATCTGAAGTGAAAATTTAAAAATGAACTTTCCTTGTGTTCTTGTGCAGAACCTCGACACTGATGTTAAAAAGATATCGTAAATATGCAGCAATAAGCTAAGAACCCGAACTGTTTTTTTACAGTATTCATAACTCATTAGGATCAACATAATGCACATAGTTCAGACTCCAAAGTAATTCATCACTTGAGGGATTTCCCTTCTTAGTTCTTATCTTTACTATAAGTTTAGTAATTATTGAAAGCATTTTTTTTCGTGGGTCATGTTCTATAGAATGTTCTCTGTTTTTCTTTGATATAAGACTGGATAAAATGCTGTTTTCTTTATTAATTTTATATAGTTTGATCAGATTTACAAGTGAATTTTTTGCACCAAGGAATATAAACTGAACTTTTGACAAGTACAAAAATGTTTGCTTATCCTCTATATTTCATCTCAGTTTTGTTTAATATTTTTCATATTTATTCAAGTATGATAGAATTTTTTTTTTATCTAATACAATTTTTAAGATAAAAAAATTTATCTTATTGAAATATAAGCGCATTAAAGTTTAATTTCATCGTTTTTCTTGCAAAATAAATAAAAAAAAAGAAATTGTCGGAAGTTTTATATAAATACAACAATCTGAACAAAACTAAAATCTTCTTATGAACTAATCTAATATTGAATATAAGAATTTAATCTGTCATAAGATAATACTGCAATACAAAAAAATAAGATTGTAACCGTTGAAATGTAAATCAGGGTCAAGAGAATCAATGTTTTTTCGAATTGAGTCATATTATTTTACCATTTTTTGTTTATTTTTATAACAAATTTTTTTTTTACAACAAATTTTTCATGACATATATCTTGTTCCTAATTTTTTTTTATGCATTACAAATAATATAAGAACAGTCTGACAGTAAATAAAATATACACAATCACTATAGTATAACCAACAAAACAAGGACAAGAAAATTAATTCTCTTTTTCGAAACAGTTTTACAAAACAGTACAACTCTTTTTTGTATTAACATCTGAATTGATGTCTTGTTACCTTTGAAAGATATTTAAATATAAATGTTAGTTTGTGAAAAATGTGAACAATTCAATCTCATTAAAAGATTATTTTAAGAAAGTACGCCTACGACTAATGCTTAGGTAACATGAATACACGTGATATTTCTAGCAAGTTTATTAAGAGATTGATATAAATTTGTTACTAATTAAATTTTCTTCCGGGAGAAAACCATCAAGGTCATTTGAAATTGCTAATGATATTAAATTAAAAACTTTTGCTTTTTTCTTTGAATAAGTAACTCGATCGCTCAGCTTCGGTTGAAGTAAAATATGAGAAAAAAGAAAGGAAATTCTTTGAAATAAAATATGCACTGATACTTAGAGAACAAAACAAATAAGAAACCATTATCTACTACATCTAATTTATGTCAAGTTACTTCCTTTTTTACCAACAAAAATAAAGATTTTTCAAAAATGTCCTTACGTATATTTGTTTAAGATTTCTTTCTATGTGCTAAAAAATCTTTTGAAAAAAGATAGCATGTAGAAATATATATATATATTGTATTTTTGTGCTTAATCGTTTCTATTTAATGATCTATACATCAAATAAAAAGTGCTTTTTTTTATTTACAATCGACATCTATCCATTTTTCATCAGTATGAGAGTCGAACAAAAAAAAGACGAAAGGAAATAAAAGAAAAGAGTATAATTAACGTCGAAGCATAGATAATTACAGTTTATTTTCGATATGTTGCCGACAAATAAGTTTTTATTTCTGACTTTCAATCATGCCTATAACGACTTTAGTCACGATCCACACCTATACTAACTATTATCATTCCATCTCATTTCCGATTAAGTTCCGCAGTGACATAACCAACAACAACGAGAAAAAAAGCTTCTATATTTCATTTTGACCCATCCTGATCATAATACCCAATTTGATAGGATTAAATTTTATAAAATGACCTAGATTGAATACAAATTGTTAGGATTAAATCAAACTTTATTTAATAAAATTTCACATATTTGAGTAAAAAGATCTTTTCTAAACGTGTCTTCTGTTTTTTTTTGTTTCAAGGAATTTAATCCACATCAAGGCGTAGTAGGAGCAATATGGTTTCGTTATGATATTACGGTAAAAATGAGAAGATTTTTAATTTAATATGTCGTTTATTTTTTCATTTTTTATATAGCCAATAACAGTTAAATATACTGAACGTCGGCAAAAATTTTATACATTTATAACATCAATATGTGCTGTTGTTGGTGGTTCATTTACAGTAGCAAGTATTCTTGATTCAATAATATTTACAGCAAGTGAATTATTTAAAAAATTTGAACTTGGTAAAACGACATAAAATTTTTTAAAATTATTAAAATCAAAGACAACCAAAATCTTTTTATTCTGGCGACAACGAACTTATTTTTAGTTTTTTTTCCTTTTTTTCCTAATTATTATTTATTATTCATTTTAGTAGACTAACAAATAGTTTTATTGAAGAATCTCATAATAAATAAAAATCAATTTTTTCTCAGTTATATTATACTCTATGATCACTATTGCATGTGTAGATATATGATATATGTCAAAGACATAATAATATTATTATTATTCAAAATGTCATTAGATTTGTAAAGGTATACACAGCAGATTTGTATGAATCGATCGACAACCGATATTATGGTTTGAAATTAAGAAGTAGATTATTTTATGAAAAGAAATGTAAACCAATTGACATTGACATATTGAGTGTGCATGATTAACTTTCTGTCAAAAATAGATAACACAGTTTGTTACTCATGGGAAAAAATAAGAAAAGACGACTTCTGATGTCTAGTCTTATTTTATCAACGGCTTCTACCATAGTCGTTGTGTTGTTTAACATAATATACTTTTTGTTCTCTTATGTTTTTTAGTTGTCAGGATAATGAATTTTTGTGTTTGTTAATAGAACTTTAAAACAAATTATAATTGAATTGCATTTGACAACTCTTTTTGAAAAACATGACGGATTTGATGTTGTTCGCCTTTTTCCTATTTCTTGATTGCTGTGTAACCAGTTCCTTTTTTCTATTTTTTACAGACGACTGAATCCTTATTATTACATGCATGAAGTGGTGCTCGTAGTATAAATGAATGACGTCGTCAATGATGAAATGAATCGCAGTAGTAATATTGTCAATAATAAAATAGGTCACAGTGAGAAATGAAATTCAATGACAAGAATCGATAATCATTATCATCAATACCTTCACTAGCCATTTGATCATATAGAAATATCAATATTCAACGGAAATATATTAATAGAACAATGATTTGTGAAGAAAAAATAATCATATGGCAAACATTCTATATTTAAGTAACAGGAAATGATAAATGACTGACAGCATGTTTTCCTTGATTGTGTAGAGAAACAGCAAGCTGAACTAGAATGTATATGCATATTCAGCGTTAATGTTAAAAATCATATTTACTGAGTAAATACACTCGAATTTTATCATAGAGAATAATTTTATATATCCAGAAGACAAAATGAATCGTCTTAAAGTGGAAAAGTCACTTCTTGTCATAAGTTCCTCAGGTTATGTCTTCTGTAATCCAAAAAAGATTAACTGATTCCGACTTGCATCAATCTCAATGTTTACATTCATTTGTATATGCAACCTAAAACTATAGAACTCTATTTTATTAAATAAATGAATATTTAAATATCAGAATAATCTATTATAAGAAAAGTTTTTGTTTTTCTTCAAAAAAATCAAAAGAAAACATATTGAAATTCTTGATCAAGATGATTGATATAATATATAAATGAAAAAGAAAATATATTAGTTTGTTACAAAATAATTATCATAATAATAACTAATTAATAAAAACACCAGTTGATGTTTGTATGTCATTTTTTAAACCTTAATTAACACCATTATCATTATCCTTTTTTTTTCTTGTTACTTTTTTCTTCTTGTCTTCTTCTTCTTCTCCTCCTCCTCCTCCTACTTTTCTTTTCTCTATTGTAATCATCTTTTTTTTTTCTGTTGTTTTCTTATAATCACTGTTATAATTTTGTTGGCAAGTGTTACAGTACGAGAAGAGAAAAAGAAATTAAAAGAAAAACGTATTCGTTAGAAATAAGAAACAGAAAACATCAGTCATCAAAATGAATCTATCTATTCAATGGTCTAATCAATCATACAAATTCATTGAGGAATTTGCACGAGTAAGTTTTGATTTATTTCATTCAGAAAATATAAATGTTATATTTTATTCATTTTTTTTTCAAGGTAGAAGAGTAATTTCGGTAAGCAGAGACAAATAGAGAAAATACTTAAGTGACATTCGTAGGTTGAAAAATTCTTTAGAGAAAAAAATGTCATAATTTAATTACTCAAGTTCATACGTGCTTAGGAAGTTGATAACTATGTGTGTATAGAAGTTATGCTTGACTTATTAGTATTATCTCACAGAATCATATTTATGAATACAATTAGATTAATTTAATAAATATATATGGAACTTCCTATTTTACGGCAATACTTTCGTTCATGTTTTGAGAAATAAACAAGTACAATGAGTTCTTATTATTAATGAAAAACGAGAAGTATACAATGATCTAGAAAAAGAATTTTGTTTTTGAACAATTGTTCTTGGTTAGAAATAATAATCTGCTTGTTTTGATTTCTTTTGGCATATTTTTAAATAGGAGTACTTGAGATTAGAACGAATATTTTGTACCAAGAATTGAATATTGTGATAGTCAAATGTTTTTATATAACCATAAACGATTCAGAAAAGAATCTACAATCAACACATACGATGTAAATAAAGAATACCTTTTCTAAGAAGCATTATGATAAAGGATAACGTTCGTTTATTAGTAAATCTCTCTCTCTCTTTTTTTTTGTAAGTGACAGTTTTGCATTATAGAGTTCTTAAAAGATTTTATTCAAAAGAAGATAGAGACTGACAACAAAAGCAAACATTAGTAAATTCATTTTATACAATGTTTTATCTTGTTCAAATAACTGTAGAAACTTTTCTTTGGTCATTTTAGTTTTTCAAACAAATACAGGAGAAGTTTTCATTCTATTTTAATTATAATTTCAGAGAACAAGTTTAAGATAGATTTCTAGGTCTTGTTTTTTATTTGGTTTTCTTTATTGTAATATGAATTTTTCTTGTTCAACCAGATTTTGAACAAGATTTGTTGCGCATCAATTTTTCTCTCAAAGCTTCCTTCTTCTGTAGTTCACGTCAGTCTCTTTTTCTTTCAATCTTCCATATTGATGATGTAAACAATAAGCGGGCAAGAGAGATAAATCGACATTTGAAGTTTTTCTGGTGTTTTATACGTAAATGATAATGCACGACATAAATATTTCTATGTTGCTCCATGTCTTTTATGTTTTGCTAGAAAAAAGAAGAGCATCAATTCCAATGCTATTACAATGAGGATCAAAAGAAAAAGAGACGAAAAGATATTTGATTTTACATGATTATTATTTTTAAAACTATTTATGCCCTTAAGGTCAATAGGCATGCTTTCCTGATTTATATGTTTTCCACAGAGACAATAAGATAAATAGATTTTACGATAAAATAAACTTATGAATAAATTACCATCTGAAACAGAGAAAAAAAAATCACGCAAAAGTTCGTTAACATTTTATATGAGTATATTTCTTTTTTTCTCCTATACCATAAACTTTCCCAAAAAACCAACACAATATGATTTATATTTTTAGATTATTTGAATTATTTTCGTTTTAATTGGCTATGATCAAATAATAATCATGATGAACAATAATTTTACTATTAGTAATGATGATATACATCATACAGAACAAATATCATCATTTATTGATTTACGATTTTTTCTTGTTCGTATTTTTTATCCATGTTTACTTGCATGGGGTACAATTGGTAATGCATTATGTTTACGTGTATTATTAAGTAAAAAATTTTTAAAAAACTCAACATGTCAATATTTAGCTGTACTTGCTGTAATTGATATACTATTTATATTAATGCGTTCCGGTAAACATGTTTATAAATTATTTCGTGTTACACCTATATTTAATACATCAAAATGGATATGTCGTATATTAACATTTTTTTCATCAGCACTTGCACATATGGCATCATGGATATTGGTTATTGTCAGTTTTGATCGATATTTCATAGTAACAAGTGGATATAGACGACATAGTTCATCTGTTAATCGAGTTTTTTGTTCAACAAGTATACTTATTGCTATTGTCGTTTTATGCAATCTTTATTATTTCTTTATACTTGGTAAGTCTTCTATTAAAGAAATAAAGTCTATTCCATAATATATCTAAATATGAATTATTTTGGTATTCATATTTCAAAAAATATAATTTGAGAAAGAGAGACGTCTGGAACTGTTAGAAGTACTATATCTATCTTATCTTCATCTTTCAAACTATAAAGACACTAATGAAAAGATTACTAAAGTAGTTTCAGATTACTAATTCAGACTAAAAACTCTATAATTAAAGCTGAATATCTTAGAAGAAAATGAATTTTTCAAATTTGAAAAAAAATCTCTCTAATAGAACATATAATAATGTTTTTATTTTATTCTTTGCTATGCAAAGAAAAATGGAGACAAACCATATCCGATAAGAAAAAAATTGGTTTTGTACACGACATTTTTCTTTTTAGAATATCATGCAATGAATATCTACATATTAACGAGCAAAACAACAAACGTTATATTATATATAATTTATATAATTAGACAGAAATTTTATACACTTTCTCTAAGTATATTTCTACAACATCAGGGTCAAAAATTGCCTCTAAAAAAGTTTTCATATTTAAAAAAAATTCAATTTTACTTAGTTTTTTTTTTGTTGCCATTCAAGAACATTGGAGTTCGTACATAACAATTTTAAATTAAGCATTTACCATTAAACAGCAATAAAACCTTATGAATGATTATATTTCACTATCGGACGCTGTTCAATTTCATATTATGACTATGACTAGATCTTAAGGAAACTAAGAAAGAAAAAAGCTTAAAAAGCATTTCAAGTCCATGGCCTACTGATGAAGAGTTATAGCCGTTATAATAAAATTTGTATTGAGTATAAGACATTTCCGGAAAAAGCAAAACAAAAAGTTTCTAGCTGAAATTTTGCCTATAGGCAAATTTGATAATTATTAGATAACTAGTTAGGAAAGTTTCCACGAGAATAAACATGTTATTGCTTGAGATATTTAATTTATAAGTTGACTCGATTATTCTATGTCTTTCTATAATTTTGATAATTATTAAATCTGCATTATAAACAAAATCTGTTTTGCATTGCCCAAAAATGTTTTTGCTCTTAAATGAAAAAAAAAAGACATTTTTATTAAAATGATCATAGAGCTCTTCATTGGTAGATCATAAGATTGAATCTTTTTTGTTTGGTATAGTTTTCTTAGTCTAGTCGAAATTTTGTCGCTGCTATCTTATAAAAGCAAAGAATATTCAATAATTGATTGTATTCTCTGATTACTTGATTAATTCATGATATTTATTTTAGGTCTTTAATCAGAAGAGCTATTCTTATAGATCTATTGATAAATTTGAGTGATAAGAACATCTTTTTATGAGTATATTAAATATGTGCATGACTAAATTACATATTGCTATCTTATTTTCAATTAGAACTTACATTTATTCATGTTTTTCTTTTGTTTCATAATTCCATTGTGATTTGATCTCGACTGAACATTATAAAGAATAAAGAGAATCTTATTGTAGATATATGAATTAATGTTCGTTATTAATCTAAATATATTTTTAGTATATATATATATTTTTTTTTTTTCTTTTAATTAATAAGGTCGCACAACAAAACTAAATTACTACGGATCAATTAGTCAACAATATCCTTTGTTAACTGATACAATAGATATTAATAATAATACGTCTTTAGAAGCTATAGATTCTTATAATTTATTTCAATCAACAGTAATTTCAATATTTGTATGTATGCCAAGTAGTGGTTATGAACGTTTTTTTCGTACTTATATACCTATATTCGATATATTACTTGTTGCTGTTATTCCATTTTTTCTTCTTTGTTTTTCTAATATTGGTATTATAATATATACAATGCGTAAAAGTCGTCATATGCATCAACACCGTAAACGGGCACATCGTCGGCATCAACGATTAACAATAATGCTTTTATCAGTTACCTTAGCATTTATCGGTTTAACATGTCCATCAGTTATATTCATATGTGTAAATAAAATGATTCAATCAAATCGAATGAAACGCGATGAAAAAACTGATACTATTAATGAATTATTTGGTAGTCGTCAACCGTCAAGTGTACCATTAATTGTTGAAGTATGTGAAGCATTATGGTATACAAAACATGCAATGAATTTTATATTATATACATTAAGCGGACAAGACTTTCGTCGAGAATTTATTAAATTATTTACAGAATGTTTTCATAATCGGCCAACTATATTAAAAAAATTAATTCGACAAACTCCTTTGACAACAGAACAAAGAATTGATTCATCATTAGTTGACATACCCATAATCACAACAAATACAAGTCATAGGAAAAAAAAACCAAACAAGTAATAATCATGAAATAATATCTACTAATTATATGAATTCAAAAGAAACAATATGAACACTTTAATCTGTTTGAACATATATTTATATTATTGGTCAATAATTAGCTTTGCTTTTCTCTTTCTTTCTTTTTTTTTTCAAAAATAATAAAAATGAAGTCTTGTCTTTATTTATTAATAACCTGAGATCCGCTGAAACATTTAACAAACTAAAGAAAAAGAAAACGATTAAGAACTACGGTATCACAGTGTTCAAAAGAAAAGAGACAAACTTGAATTAATTAATGAAGAAATGGCTAGTAAGGATTCATTCTCTGTTAAGAAAAAAAAAGAAAAAAAAGAAATATTTGAAAGACAAATTAAAACTAAAATAGATAAATTAACAACTTTCAAACATCGAGTCTATTTTTTTGTAAAACGTTTTCTTCATCTTTGCCTTCATTTGTTTCAAGATCACGATCAGGTGGAACACATACAATACAAAAATGAAAGAATGAAGCCACAATTATCATTGCACCACCAATAGCAAATGCCATATCATATTTTTTAGTATAATCTTTAAGAAAACCTATTCAACAAAAAAAATAAATAAAAAATAAACAAAAAAAACTAAATCATTTTAATACAAACCAGCAGCAGGGGGACCAATAACTGATGTTACACCACGAAATAGAAAAAGAATACCAAAAGCTGTTGTATATCGATCAAGACCCACGCAATCGCATATAATACTTGGCAATAAAGACATATGAGGTGCTAAAAAGATCAACATCAAATATCAATTATATTTTTCTATTTACAAAAATTTTTCATTACCAATAGCAAATCCACATAGACCAGCATAGAGTGCACATGTCGTAAAATTATATGCATAGGCTGCTAAAACAGTCAGAATACCAGCCGTAAATAAAAGTGCATTATGAACACGTAAAGAGCTTAAATGTGGTATCATAGCAATTGGTCCACCAGCAAATCGACCAAGTGTATTAAAAAAACCTAAATGAGTATTAATTGTTCATAACAAAACAAAAAAATAGTCTATTTATTTGTTTTACCAAAGACTGTTAATAAAAATGAAGCTTTTGTTAGATCAATTTTCAAATCTTCAGTTGCAAACGAAACAAGACACATAATTGGTAAATAATAACCAAGCATAGAAAATATATTTCCAAGACAAATTAATAATAATTGTTTATTTTTTAATATAGAAAAATCTGTCATAGCTTTAAGTATATCAGCGAATGCTTTAAATGCTGAATCTTTCTTTTTTTCTTCATCTGTTAATGCTGGAATATTTGTTACAGATGCCATATATGGATTTTTATTAGCTAATGATGTATGTGATCCATGATGAAGTTGCAATTTTGATCCAGTAAATAAAGCATCTTTTTTATAGAGTGGTCGTGAAGCATCTTCAGGATTTGAAACACCAACACGATGATGTGTACTACCAATTGATGTTTGACTTGATGATGATATTGTACGAACGCGTGGAGTTGTTTGAGTAGGTGGAGCTAATGATGTACCATTTACTGTTGCAACAGGAGGAACATCACTATACGATATTGCACTCCCATTCTTATTCTGGGTTGATGTATCAACTGATGATAATAATGGCTAGAAAAATGAATATTTGAATATTAATATTTTTCAATGAAAAAATAATAATACTGACTACACGTGTGTCTGCTGTTGCTTCTTGAGAAGCTGAGGGTTTCTGTTGATCCCTTTTTAAGTAATTATTAACAGGAGTTCTGTAACAATAAATAAAAGTATTGATCTTACAAACATAAAAAGAAAATTATTTAAATACTTACTCCAATTCAATATCTCGTTTAATTGGTACTTTTTGAGGTTTTAATGGTTGCATAATTGCACCAAATGCAATACATGTTAACATTATACCAGCAAATATAAGCATACCCATTTTCCAACCCAATTTCCCCATTAAAAAATTAGCTAATGGACCAAAAGATAATGCACCAATACCTGTACCTGCAGTTACCAAACCTAGCAATCAGCAAATAATTTATAATAAAAAAATTAATATATCCAAATAAAAAGAAAAAACAAGATAATTTTACCATTAGCTACAGCTCGTTTTTTGTCAAAATAAAAGGATACCATTACTACTGATCTAAATTCAAGAAGAAGCAGATATTTAATCAACTTATTTTTTTTTATTTAACATACGGCAGATAAACCATGCCAAAAAAGACACCTCCAAATATACCATAAATAATCATCATTGCCCAAACATTTGGTGAAAAAGTAGACAATACCATACAAGCTGCTGCACCAATGCTTCCAATAATAATAATTGGTCGACAACCATATCTATTAGCTAAACCTGATACAATTGGACCTTTGAAAATAAATTGTAACATTCATAATACAAAATATCTAGTGATAATAAATTATACTAACCCACTAATAAATAAACACCACAAGGAACAGAACCAACCATAAGAATAAGCATATCCGAACATTCAAAATGTTTTTGAAGATGAACTTTCATTGTACCAAATGCAAATAGAGTACCATCGCACACAAGATTACATAACTGAATAGAAAATTATAACAATGAATATCATAAATAAAATAAAAAAATAAAACAATCAAACGATACCATTGCTGCAAAAGCAATAACCCAACCAAATCCTCCATCAGGTGGTATTGCAACATATTCATATTCTTCTTCATAATTATCATTGTCAATTTTTTTTAATCGAACTTGTTCATCATCTAATTTATTATTGTTTGATACTTGTTTCGATGCCATACATCTAATGTACTCGTATAACCTCACCAAAACTTAAACAAATAATATTTTTACTGTTTAAAACTCACACCTGAAAAGGCAAAAAAAACAGCAAGAAAAAGATTAGAACGATTGAATAATGTGCAAGGATACAAGAAAAACCATGCATAAGAAGAAAAGAAAAAGAAGAAAAGAAAAATCGCATCACACACAATAGAGGTATTGGCTAATTCATTGAGCCGTAACACCTATTTAGTGTATCAAGGTTTATGAACAAGAAAAGAAAAACGAGAATCGTGAAGGACACAGGGGCAGTAATAATATAACCTTCGTTCATTTCTTGTACTTTTGCATAATATCAATATAGATCTTCTTACCAGTTACAAAAAGACAAAGAAGAACAAGAAAGAGGGTAGATAAGCAGTTATGAATATTAGATAATATCAAGAGTATATAGGTTTTTCGAGACAAAAAGTATATACTTTCTTTTTTTTCTATTCTCTTTTATTTTTGCCACAAAACCACTTTTTATATTATTCTTAGCGATGAAGAAGGAAAACGTCACAGATGGAGTTATTTTGCATTTCATAATAGTTTTACAAAGCTATTTTGTTGTTTTTTTTTGGGGCAATGTTTCATATAAAAGAAGTAACATATGTTGACAAGGTTCGAAAAAGAAAGAAAATTATAAGTAAATGGAAATACAGTTGACCGATTAAAAACAGAAAACGAGTATGAGAATAGTGCAATTATGATTATGAAGTGCTTTTTAAAGTCATCATCAAATTTACGATAGAAGAAGAAGAAGAAGAAGAATTTTTATTGGGCAAGAAAATATTTTTGTTTGTCTATTCTTAACTCTTTCTAACGGCAACATTTTAATAGTCGTTTATTTTTTTCATTAAATATAAAAATTCACATCTTTTTTGTATTACTTAAGACGTCAACATGTCCGCATTCATATGCTGTCGTTAAACATTCATTTTTCGATTGTATTACGAATATAAAGAATACCTCTAAGTCAAGGTTGTTACTTCATACTTACGTTTGAATCAATAATTTGAACACAAATGGTGTGTCAGTGAACACGATGATGGTATAAAAGACTAATCACACGCAACAAAATGCCGACTATACAGTATATGAAAAGAATTTTCTGTCTTGACTAAAGAAATCTATTGACTATTCTGCTGATTTTTTTCTTGTAGCCTTCTATACGCACATGTAGACATTTCTGTTACAATATATATTCGCTGCTGTGCGTATATATGCGAGAGAATGATGATTTTTCGCTAAGAAAATTCACAAACTTATACTGTATAATGCAAGATAGATGTTATTTCTTTCTTTTATTCTACAACAAGTCAATGAACTATAAAATATCTCCAAAAGAAAAAAAATACTTATATAATACAGAAAGAAAAAAGATGACGCAATGAAATAGTATAACAAGGTCATGGTCATTTTCTAATAACCATGGTGTTTAAAGCTGTAACATATAAAAATGAGTTTTTTTTTTCTCTATTGAATTGGACAAAATATGAATCTTTAAGTTTCTTTTTTTGACGGAAAAATACAACGAAAAACATCAATCTAAGAGATAGTAAAGTACAATCATAAGCTATAGACCTTGTTGCGCCTGTATGATTAATCCTTTTTATTTTCAACCGTTTCGTTACATGTGTCTTACCTTTTCTTTTTCTTTACATAAATATACTTCGTCGTTTCTATTTCATCTACCGTTCTCTATCATAATTATTTGGACGGAGGATAAAAAAATTTTAACTCCAACAAAACTCTTAGATTAAGAAAAAAGAAAGAAAAAACAAAATGAAATTTGACTACCAGGTATTAGTATAGAAAGTGTACATATAAAGAAAGAAATACAATTTCAATTCTTCATTAACAATAGCCTTTGAAAAACGACATTGATATACAATATTAAAAAAATCTTCTATCCTTCAACAGGTATCACCCTACACCAGAAATTTATTACAATGATATTCTATGCAAACGAAATATATATTTTAATTATAATTCCCTTCCAAGCTTTCTAAAGAATACTTTTTGTCAAAGCTTTTACAATAATTGTCATTATTCAAAGAGAAAACGATTGCTTAATTGAAATTCATATTATGTTACATTTTCTATTCCATCTAATCATGTAGTAATAAAGAAATCTTATATCTTTTTAACAAATATATACATACTCAACAACCTTAATTTTATTGACATATTTGTAAATTTTGGTATGTATAAGTTCAGTTTATTGGTGATACCTTGGTTATGATGACAAACAAAGGAATAACAGAAGAAGAAGAAAAAGAAGAAGAAATACAAAGAAGAAACAGTTAGAGAACAAAATAACGAATGTAATATCTGACAACCATGGAATAGAAAGAACACGAATCTATGTATAAGAATAGATTGGAAAAACACCCTTTATGATCTAAGATAATGCGGTGCGAAAGTTCCCATACGTGATGCCGAGGAAAATCGCAGATACGAGATGTGAACATTTCTCATACTAGTAAATGTCCTTGAATTCTCCATCTGAACAATATTAAGTAAAACAGATACTTAAAAAAAGTGTATATTTATCAACTGTTTATAGACAATAATTCAATTCTCCTCATATTAATATTTGTTGTAAGTTTACTAATCGGATTAGAAGCAGGAAAAGAAAATGATTCTACGCAGAGAATGAAATTTCAAAAAGAACTATGACGTTGTGATATTCTAATTATATACTATTATATTACGAAATAGAACATTGTTTCGAGCTATTAATTTAATTTTTTCATCTTATTTTTCTAACTAAATCAATAAAACAGAGAGATGCTTTTAGTAATCTATATATATATACTATTGTGCAATGAATAGTTTCGGTTAAAATTTTTTTTGTTTTCTTAGTTCAAAGATTGTTTTTATGAAAGTTTTGATTTATTTCTAACAATAGAATACATGACACATATTATACTTTTATTCTTATTTTTTTTTCCTGAATATGTTTTTATACAAGTACATATTTTTGATTCTACGTTGATTATCATTCGCTATTTGCATTAAAACAAAAAAAAATTTTATACGTTGTACTCGTTTAAACAAAAGATATTATCATGAAAATAAAACATTGTCCTTAATATCTTCTTCTATTGGATTGTTCTCAAATTTTTCAGGTAATGTTTGTTTTTTCTTTTCATCGTCACTGGTTACTGTTGAAAATTCAGTATTAAAATGACGATTTATAAAAATAGTAAATGACGTGTCTTCAGGCATTGACGTTGTATTATCTTGAGCTATACAAAAAAAAGAAAGAAAAAGTATTGAGAGATTTATTAAAAAGAAGAAATGGAAAAAATACCCTTACTTAATGTTGAATTACTTTCAACAATACTTATCATTGCACTATTTGATGACGTCTCCACATATTCTTGACTTTCCATTATCGTTGTTAATTCGTTTTTTGTTGTCATCATAGTTGTGAAGTGATGACTACTAGGTGCAAATGTTGTTTGTTGATTAGATATTGTTGTTTGAATAGTTGTCGAAATAGTCGTTTGTTCATTAGATATTGTTGTTTGAATAGTAGTAGTCGAAACAGTCGTTTGTTCATTAGGTATTGTATCCGATGATGGATAAGTTTTCATTGATTGTGTATCAGAATATATATGCTCATTTTGTTTTGTTCTCATTATCGATGATGACATATGAACATTTTGAGTTGTTAACGTATGTAAATTATTACTTGTCAAAATGACAGTTGTTTGTGGCCAATATTCATTTTCTGTTTGCTCATTGGTTATTGTTGTCAAATCTATATTGATATATATAATAATAAATGAATAAATAAATAAAAGAGTAAATTCATATACTCACTTTCTTGATTTATAAAAAGAAATCGACTATTATTTGATGGAATTAAGAAGTTCGTTTCAGCAGGTTGTGACATAACAGCCATAAGTGTATTACGAGAATCTAAGATACCAAAAAAAAGAAAGAAAAAATCTTTCTTTATAATGTTAAACTTGAACAATTTATTTTTCGAAAAAATAACACTTAAGGTTATTACTTAACTCTTAAAATTTTTTATCATCATGTATATATATATATGTATGACATCATAAAATATTTTATACGCTTTATTTTTTTATGATACGAATTATGTGTAAAATAAAAAATGTATGTCAAGTTTAGGTACTAAAATTATGATACGATAAAAAAAAAGAATTTTTTAAAGTTTCTATATTGACATTTAATAGTTGATTTTGTCAAATAATAAAAAAAAATCTCACATGCAAGAACCACTGTGAGTATAATAATACCAATAACAACAAGACCTAGAATTATCATCAGAATAGCAGCTTTACATGCGCGTGATAATCGTTCTTCACGTGGATTCTAAAAATATAAATTGTATTGTTTTTTTGTCTATTGATGAACCAAAAAAAGAAAATATTTTCTGTTTTTTTTGTTTCTTTACCTTTGTAAGTAACACATGATTTGTTGCTATAATATCATTCAAAGCTGGATTGCTCAGATCAGTTTGATTTTCATTTTCAATACGAACGATTGATTTTTTATACATTTATAAGTATATATATATATTTAAATTTAGTTGTAAGAAGAATAATCGCTGACGATCAGATTTGTGAGTTTGAAAAGAAATGAAATATGGTTGAAAATGAATGTGGGACGATATCCGATGTGTGTATTTGTATGTACACCATCGAATGCTAGGTAACCACATGTACAAAAGAAAAAAGAGAGAAAGAGACAGAAAAGACATTTATGTAAGTTCTCTCTTGTGTCGTTGTTCCGTAGGACGCATACATATACATAATTGTGCCTCGCTCGATTGTTCAATCATTTTTGTCAGTTCCATCAATTCATGTATATACAGCTTGCTCTTAGCGGAATAAAAAAAATGAAGTGAATTAAGTGAAGTGCAGCATAGCGATGAAGTCAAGATAACTGTATGAGTCCACTTGTTGGCTGTCGACCGCAACGAACGACAGAACGATTTGTTATTCTATATATATACATACATATTGACTGTATATATGTGAATTCATCATAGTTCTTCTTGTAGAAGACACACATATAAATATATTGTATTGTTCAGATAGAGACATAGAGAAAGATACGATGAACAACTCTACGAGGTGAAGACTTATAATCACGTGAATAGCAATATGACCTCTGTGTTATTGTGCAATATATAGACATTATCAAGAATATGAAATTTCAAAATGAAATATGAAGAAATAACAGTGCAAAATCAATCATTATTGATCAATTTCAGTTCTTCTTTTTACGTTTTATCATATAAGACCTTTTTTATGTAAATTTGTGGCAATTAATCGATCGTTTTTTTGTCATCATTTATTCCTTCTTATTTTCTTTAATGATAAAAAAAACACAGACTGAAAACAGAAACAATATTGTTTGATCCCTTTTGAGTAGATATACTCATGGTTTATTTATGCATTCTAAACTCGGGTGAATACTCATAAACATGTGAAATATGAATCGTCATGCATAGAACATTTACTATGCATACATCCATTAATTGAACAAAAAAAAAGAACATTCCGATGAAGTTGAAACAAATCATACATCGATTTTCATGATCATTATCAGTAAAAAAAAATGGAAGAAAAGAACACAAGAGATATATTTCTACTAGTCAATATATTGTATTTGTATCTATATTTATTTTTTGGTTTCGAATAAGAGATATACAAGTTTATATAGATTATTTTATTTTACTCGACAATATTTATATCATCTTTTGATGCGTATATAATTGAGATATATACTTTCATTGTGTATATCGCTATGTGTAAAACATGTTAGCTATTTTTGTGTTTTTTTTTCGATAGCAAACAATAGCACAGTAGTAGTTTTGTCATTGTTCTTTTTTTCTTCTGTTTGAGACCTTTTATATGTGAGTGATTGCAAGTTACATTGGTACGGCACAATCAATGAAGCAATTTTGTTATTTTTTCCTACGCAAATCTTTAATAACAGACTTTTTTCTTCTTTTGTCAATTAGATAATAGATATTGCCTTAGAATATCTCGACAAAATCTTTCTCTTCTTTTTTCTTCTTTTATATTGACTTTTAATTTTATTTATTAGAATACTTCTCTCTTCTTCTCATACCCATCATCGATCGAGCATCATGGTAATAAGTAGAAATGGAAAAAAATGGCGATGATTCTACTCAGCTGAAAGAGCTATCAAAACATTTTATTCATTAACTCACCGGATTATTTAGACCTTTTCTTCGAATATCCCCTTTTTTTTATGTGTCCTTTGGATATGTAAGTATTAAAAAAAATAATACTTTGCATTAAACAAGTAAAAAGAACGGAGAGATTTTCTTTTTTTTCTCTGATTCACACAAGATTGTGCTGTAAACATTTTCAATATAATGATCATAATAATAGAAAAAGAAGGAAGCATAGAAACTTCTTGTTGCTCTTTAGTGTTAATAGTTTAATACTGCCAGAAAAAAAACACATTATACTTTGAACGTAAACAAAAAAAAAGAAAACTTGATCTTTTGTCTGCATGCCTCATTTGTTTATTATTCGATCCTGTTTCGAACTAACAACAGAAATAGATTAAAATATACTTCGGTATTTTTCTGAGACGTTTTCGTGCATATAAAAATATAAAGAAGATGACAGGTAGTCGTTAGTACTACAATCAAGAGTGCCTAATCGGCATAATATAGCACATCTAGTTTCTTTTTTTCTCTCTAGCTTCAGGGTATAATTCTTATGTATGGATGAATGTAGGTGGAAAAAAGAATATGAATATTGAAATCGTCATTTCTCGTTCTCTTTATGACGGATGATGATGATGATAGTAATAGTGTCTCGAACTCGTTTTTTTTCCTTTTTCCTATCTTCTCTTTTTTTTTATCTGCCAGAACAATACCAGTAAGCTCATATAGACATCATTACTGTAGAGAGAGAGAGGGGGGAGTAAAAGAAACTCATTATAGGATGCGCGCTTTTATCCACATCTACACGATTACAAGATTTTACCGACTTGCACGACTACACTACACATTAACAATGTATAAAATAATTTTAAGAAAATAACTTTCATCATTTGTTTGTTTTAGTTTAAAATTTGATTTCTTTTGTTTTACATTTATTTTCAAATTAAACAGGTAATAAGCGCAATGCTATCATGCTCACAGTACATTATGACCTATATATTGGCATTGGTATTGGTGCTGTATCTGTTATAATTATAATTCTTATTGCAACAATAATTTTCTGTAAATGTTGCGTGCCATCATCAAGTCATCGTTATTTTGGTCGATCAGTGAGACATTATGCTGCCATTAATAATATTGACGCAAAAACATATTTTAAACCACCCCAACATCTCGTGAGTAATTCTTCCTGATTATCTTTCTATTTATCAATCATTATGTGCTTAGTTTCCGGTTCTGATTGCTAGCACTTAAATAAGTTAAACATGCAAACAAAGTTAGAAATAAAAAAAAAGATAATATTAGAAAATAAGACAACAAAAGAAAAGAAAAGAAAAGTATTTTTTATTTTATTTCTGTTTTTCATTGTATCAAATGGAATAAGAAGGGTGATTTGAAAGTTGATTGTTTTTTTTCTCTTCTAAAAATAGATTTAATATTGGTTGTATTATTTATTAGATTTATGCACCTATTGTTCATCGTATTCCACAACCACCAGTTATAACACAAGAAATATCGTCAACACAATCAGCTCGAACATCAGTTGCATCAGGTGGTCGTTTATCAATTTTGTCCGAAAAATTATCTCGTTTATCAATCAGTTCAAATCAATCAGGTCGTCCATCAGTAGCATCAGATAGTGTACTTCTACAAAAAAAAGGTGATACTAGTCGTTTGTCACATTCTTATGATGATTCAAATACGCAAGCAATTACAGCACATTATTCAGGTCGAAGAAGTTCTAAAGTACCACGTTTATCAACAGCTGTTATTGATACACAAGCCATTGGACATAGTTCACCACCAGGTGGAACAAATGCAAAAAATATTCGATTTCAATTATTTCCTCGTACATCAGATGTTGTTGAACAATCAATTTCATCTGTTGATCAATCATCAACAATACCATCAGGACCAACAATAACAACAGCGACAACAACAAGCATTGCTGAAGAACAATCACCATCATCATCATCAAAACGACAATTAATAAAAACCGATTCGATACAAAATTCAAATTCAAATCGTCGTCAAACATTACTTCGATCACCATCATCAAGATATGCAATACCTAAATTTCCTATGGCTGGAAAACAAACAGGCAATCTAGTAGCACGTCCTTCAACTCCTCTACCAGAGCAAGGACTACTTTCACCACCCGTTCTACCTCAAACACCATCTTATCTTGTTCCAAATAAGACATTACGTGGTGCATTAGGTGCCATAATGCCTGATCTCTATTTTGCCGGTACGACATGTACTAGTAATAGTACTACTACGAACGTTGGAACTGGTTGTAGTGAACGAACTAACGATGAATTATCAACTGTTGATGAAAATATACATCGATTACACGTTCGAATTATGTATGATGATCATCGAAATGATCTGGTTGTGAATATAATTGAAGGTAAATATATATATTAATATAAAAGAATGAACAATTATGCGACTATATGATTTTTTTTTGTTTTTCTAGCTCAATATTTACCATTTGAACGTGTAGATTTTGCTAATCCTTATGTTAAACTTTATCTTCGACCACCTGTTGATCAAAAACTACGTCAAACATCTGTACAACCACAAACAACAAATCCAATATGGAATGAATATTTTAAATTTGGTGTTGCAAATGAAACTGTATTTAAAACAACAAAGACTTTATGTTTTTACGTTTACAGTTATGCACATTCAAGTCGACCTGAATGTGTTGGTGAAGCACAAATACGTTTAACACCACAAACAATTCAAGGTCGAGATTTATGGTTGACTATTAATAAACAAAGAGCAGTAAGAAAAATTCTATTTTTTTTGCCTTAATATTAAAAATAAATTTACTGTTCATCAAAAAAAATTTTTTTTTTCGTATATATGTAGATGAAATTCTATTTTTTCTGACGTCAGTTATGTTTCTATGATTCTTTTTTTTGTATAGGAAGATGAATATCTTGGTGAATTACTAGTTTCATTAACATATTTAGCTCAAGCTGAACGTCTTAATGTTGGAATAATTGAAGCACGCAATCTAAAAGCTCTTTCAATGCATCTTGAAGCTGGTCGGTTACTAAGTTTCTAGTTTTTTTTTAGTATATGTAATCAATAATTATTTCCGATTCATTTTATTTTCTTAGATCCAGTAGTTCGTTTAACATTACAATTAGGTCAAACTGATAAAGTTAAAAGAAAAAAGACAAGTGTTAAACGTAATACATTAAATCCAAAGTGGAATGAAGAATTATCGTTTAATATTCCAGGTGTTTCATTAGCTGAATCATGCCTTGAAATAGGTGTTTATCATCACGACCTGATTGCACCAGATGAACCATTAGGTTTTCTACGTTTTGAAAATA